AATAAAAGATGTTAAAATTAGGGTTGTTAACCGGAGGATTTCGTGCAATTCCGGAAAAACCACATTCTTTCGTAAGGAGATTGAGAACGAGGAATTACATTTTTTCGTACCGAATGTTACAAAACATTTAAAATTGCCGATGTTCATTTCGCAAAAGTTACTTCCGAAATTTAGCATTTCGCAAGTTGAGATACGAAACAAAACTATTTTGCAACATACGAAAGTAGCGGTCTCGGAAGTCGCACTTGCGAAACAAACATTTTCGCCAAACGACGTTTTGCAGTCTATAAAGAAAATTTGTTTGCCAGACTGATTTTAATTGTAAAAATTAACATCTTTAAATCCCAAAATGTTTATAATGAATTTTTATTTTCAGTATAATAACATATTAAATTTTTATGGTTTTATTTTTAGAAATATTGATAAAAAATAAAATTTCTTTCGAAACGAAAGTATTTCGGATCACAACATACGAAAGAGTTCTTTACGGAAATAAACTTACGAAACGTGCCATAATAAATATATATAACGATGTTTTTTGAACTCATTACGTATAGTAAAAATAAGAATGATGGGTAGGAATATACATGTTTTTTTTTTTTTAAAGCATATGAAATTTTTGAAATAGGTTCGAATATGCTTAAGCAAATAGTAAAAAGAGGCTCAAAAATATGCTTTAGCTTAAGCATATTTCTAATAAAATATACCTATTTCAATAATTTCTAAAATTGTGCACGTTACTAAAGTTCTAGCAGATTTTAAAGGTATGTAGAGTCATGTTTGAATACGCTTTTCGAAGTATAGATCTTAGAAAATATTGTTTTTTAATTTTAATAATATATAAATTTAAGTATAAGATCGTATAGTTCAATCAGTTAGATACGTGATAATTCGCCGCAGAAATCCGGGTTCGCATCCCGCAGCCATTGTAACTTTTGTTCATCAAACTCTTTTTACTTAAGATAGCATTTTTTGACCTCCATGTTCTATATTACAGATCTTTCGTCACCTTCATAGTAGTGACAACCTCTTTTCAGTTAGTTATTCTTTTAAGATTGAGTTCATTGTGCTTAATTCTACACGTTTCCCTTGCTTTACTAAGTTCTACTTAAATTATGATGAAATGTACGTAAAACAACTTTTTCAAATAATATAAATCATTTTGCTTTAAATCTTGTGCTTTTTGTACTAGACATCTGTCCTAAACACTTTGTAATAATTTCTAGCTAACTCTGAGTCTAATATAATCATTTCTGAATATAATTTCCCTGAGGCTCCTACAGCCTATTGTGTTCCATTAAAAGTAACTAGTTTTCGAGTCCAGATATTATTTATAAGCAACTAAAGGTTCGCATTACTATTCATTTTCCTGATATATAGAATTCTATTTGCATACGTATCTCTTTCTGTAAATTCTGTTTTATATAGTTTCTTAATTATATAATAAATAAATATTACTATTCACTTAGTTTAATGAACGTATAGCTCATTCAGTTAAGACATTTGGCCGCTGAGACCCAGGTTCACATCCCGCTGTTTCACATATACTTCTTCTCTTTTTACTCTTTCTGATATCATTTACCTTTAGAGAGATCTCTCGTTCTTTATAATAAAGTATTTAATTGTTTATCACACATCCTCTTTATACTTTTTAAAAAGAAAGGCATACTGTTTATCTGTTTATTGAGAGTCAAACTTAACGGGATTTTACTGTATATATATGTATATATATATATATATATATATATATATATATATATATATATATATATATATATATATATATATATATATATATATATATATATATATATATATATATATATATATATATATATATATATATATTAGGTATATTTGTATAAACATTTGAAGAATCATTTGACAACATTTTTTTATAATTTTATTATTTAAACTGTTAACAGTTAATATCTTAAATGTATCGTAACATAAAATCTTTTGCGTCTTTTTCGTAACTGCACATTCCGGAATGCTTTTTCCGTAAGGAACTATTTCGTAAGTATTCTTACAAAATGATTTGTTTCGCAAGTTTTCTTTCGCAATGCTTTATTACGGAAATTTATTTTTTTATATTTTCGTATAGCGCGTTACGGAATGTGCATTTTTGCATGTGCAACTTCCGCAATAACAATTCTATTACGGTAGATAAAGATGCGAAATTTTCGCAAGTTTTGTTTTTCGGCGAACAACCCTAGTTAAAATGTTTAAATAATCTCTACCCAGGAAAAAAAGTTCTATAGAATATATAGGTTAAATGTTCTATAGAATATATAGGTGAAATGTTCTATAGAATATATAGGTTAAATGTTTTAGAAGTTTGTAGAAATTTTGTAGAACTTCTTTTCCTGGGTAATCTTTTTTTTTTTTCAAGTTTTTTTCGCTAACATAAAAGTCAATATAATTATTTATTCTGTTTTTATTGACATCAAACCTAATGTTGTTGATTGTATGTGTTGTAATTGAGTTTATGTTGTTCAGTAAAAATAGGTTGCTATATTCTTTTGGTGCTAATTTGATATTGTTATTGCAATGCTTATTAATTATATTCTTTTAGTGCTAATTTGATATTGTCATTAATGCTTATTAATTACATTGCTGAAAAAAGATTTAACTGATGTTCATTATGTTTGTTTGACACTTTGAAGTTGAAAAAGTTTTTATCTTTTTTCGTACGTTGTACTTGATGTTATCAAGGTTAATAAAATCAAATTGTTTAAATAAGTTTATCGGTTTCTTGTAAAAAATTGTTTTATTGCATAGTTTTAGTGCTCTGCATAAAAATCGATGATGAAAACTTTTTAGGTTGTTTGCTTTAAGTTGTTAATTGATTTGAAATGTCTTTATTTTGAATATTAATTTTGAATAGTAAAAATAAAATCATATAGTAAGTATTGCTAAGGCTTCGTATTTCTTTTTTCGTTTAGCAAATTATAAGACTTGAGCAGTGATCAAAGTTAGGTAGAATGAATGTTTTATTTTATGTGTTCGGTTAAATATAATTTACTGTTTATAATGACATCGAGCAAAGAAAATATATTAGCTATTTCAATTTTAAACTTATCACTAAATATGATTGATGTTAGCAATATTACTTTAGAAGTATGCTTATTTGTTAATATCATTGCTTTAGTTTTATTCCAATTGATGTTGAGTTTATATTTAGCATAGCATCACTCAATAAAATTATGAAATGGTAACTAAGTCTTTGTTATTAGATGATTTATATTGGTATCAGTTGCCTTAGATGTTGTGTCATCTGCAAATGCTGCATGTATTTCATGTAAACTATTGATGACAATCAAGAAAAAAAGAGGTCCTTAATTATCGGTATACCTGTGGTATACCGATATTGACTTGTTCTTCATCAGAATATCCGTCTTTAACTTTAAAAAAAAAAAATTATATTATGAAAATAGTTGCTTATGAAGTTCAAAGCATCAATTGAAAAATTATAATGTTTTAGCTTCAAAATCAGTAATTTGGAATCAATTAAGCCAAAATATTTTCTGAAATCAATAAATATCAATAAAGTAAAGAGTTCTTTAGAGTTGCACAGCTTTACTTTAGAGATAAGAACATGTAACGCAGTTTCGCATGAACTATTGCATTTGAAACCGTGCTCGTCATCATTGAATAAATCCTTTTGGTTAAATTATGCAGTTACTCTTTCAACACTTATTCGTTCAAACAATTTTTTTAGTGAGATACTGCAGTATTACTTCGATAACTATTGATGTCTATATTGATATTAACTATTTGTTCAGCCCTGGCGCAAAGGTTACAGCGCTTGCATTATAAGCAGGAAGTCCAGGTTCGAAACGAACTCTGGACATATTTTTGAGTCATGGTAAGGAAGGAGACGTGTACTTCCTGGTTAGATCTAGTCCCGTTGTGCTCTGTGACAAGACCGCTAGGTCTTCTTGGGGTACCTAAATAGCAAACAAAAAAAAATATATTGTGAATTTCACTTTTTTGTTTATAAAGTGGCATAGTACTTCCTATTTTAAATTGATTTGGAATACTGCCTGTTTCTAGACATTTTTTGAATATAGTTATTAATGGATCAGTTATTAAATCATATGGTTTTTAATCATTTTCGTTGGAATATCTGAATAACCAGAGCTGCTTTTTTTTGTAAATTTTTATATTCATATTTATTATTTTTAGATTTCATATTTATTAATAGGAACAAATGAGAAATTAAATTTTTTTTAAATTTTATTAGTTATTTTAAGAATGTTGATAAAGTTATAAGAATCATTAAGTACGCAATCAGAATTAGATTTGAATGTACTAAAGAACTTAATTTATGAAAAATAATGACTTTTCAACGTTCTAGTAGGCTTTCTTGCTGTTCTAAAGTATATAATCAGGTAAGGAAGTATCTTCAAAGTTTGATTTAGTTTTGGTGAACTTTGAGTAGAATTCATAAATGTCTTTTGAGTTATTGAAATTTTTTCGGTTTCTTTTTTTTTCAAATAACTTGTTAATTTTTCGTTTCTTAGTTTAATAAAATTTCTTCTCGTTTTTTTAAACATCTGAAAAGTTTATAAATCATTTGTTATCATTTTCTATCTTGACGGTATTTTGTTTTTTTATGGAAAATTACTGCGACAACTTTTATTGCTAAGAAAAGGTAAAAACTGTATTGCGGATTCAAAATTTAAAGAGTTTTCAAAAGAAAACTATATTACTTTTATTTGTAGTGTATATAAATATTGGCTGCTTATCTAGGGATAGGCACAGTGTAGTATAAATACAATTACAAGGGTTTTAACTTGGGCAGGCAATCTTTTAATTAAAAAAAGAAGTATTTTTTAATGTTTATTTTACCTATTGGCACGTTTTTGTTTGTTTTTTGAATAAGAATTTAATTATGTTTAAGTAATTTTATTTATTTTTATTATAATTGTTTAAAAAAATTTGATTGCTTTCAAAGTATATGACTTAAGTTATAAACATTTTTTGTTTGTTAGAGATTTCATTCACTTAAAATTTTTTTTAAACGTGTGAATAGACTATATTAAGATATAGTCGATTCATTCGTGCGTGCGAATAGACTTACCCTTTAAAAAAACCCTTAGCTGGAATTTTTCTTTGTTTATAGTTACGCGTAGAAAGAAACTTTGTCCAATTTTTAATTTACTCCTTTTTTTAAGCAAAGCTTTCACATTAGGAAACTTAATTAGTCAATAACAAATATAAAAACGTTTAGTAAAGGACAGTATTACTGTTTGTATAACAAAGTATATTGCAGTTTATATAATATTTTTACCTTGTAGATATTTTTTTCAATATTTATTATAAAGTTTAGTAAATGATGAACGAATATAATTTTTAAAAAATTTTCAATAAAATCATATTATTGAAACAAATTTAGTTGGAATGGTACATAAACTGTCGGAATGGTGTATAAACTGTCGGAATGGGACATAACCTGTCGGAATGGGACATAACCTGTCTTAATATGACTTTTCGCTTTGATTTTTATTTTGAATACATATAAAAAAGTATTTGAAATAAGATTTTACCTTAATATTATAAATCTATAAAACCTAAATCAATTAAATATTACCTAGAAAGAAAGAGACGAAGTGAGAGAATGAAATCGAGAGAGCCAGAGACATTTGTATATGAGAGTGTGATTTTCGCAATTTATCCATTTATTTTTTCTTTTCATAATAAAAAGGTTGATCTCAGTGAAGAGCAAATAGCTGAATTTAAAGATGCTTTTGCGTTATTTGACAAAGATAACGATGGAGCTATTAGCAGTAAAGAACTAGGAGCTGTTATGAAGAGTTTAGGGCAAAATCCTACAGAAGCTGAATTGCAAGATATGGTCAATGAGGTTGATACTGATGGGAACGGCACCATAGACTTTTCTGAATTTTTGACAGCAATGGCTCGAAAAGTAAAAGAGACAGACTCAGAAGAGGAAGTTAAAGAAGCTTTTCGAATTTTTGATAAAGATGGCGACGGATACATAAGTGCAGCCGAATTAAGAGTTGTCATGACCAATCTTGGTGAACGAATGACTGATGAAGAAGTAGATGAGATGATTAGGGAAGCAGATATCGACGGAGATGGCCAGATAAATTATGAAGGTAAGCCATTTTTCATCTATGAAAATACTTATGTGAGTCTATTACGACTTCTAAATTGTGGTTAAAATCATATTAGAAATAGTTATTGTATATAATTTTTTACCTTAAGAGCATTAATAAAGTGTCACTTTTTTCTTTCAGAGTTCGTGATTATGATGAAGTCTTAGTTATTGTTTTGAACTTAACAAAAAATTAAATTAAATTTGTTTACTATTTATGATAAATATATAAAATGTTTATAAATGTTTATAGTTATGTAAAAAGTTATAGAGCTATTTTATATAGAACTGAGTTTTAAAGAATTATAAATACATAAATATTATAAATGTGTTATTGGATTTGATGTTAAAATAAATGAAATAATAATAAACTATTCTCTACAGGAGTAGAGTAAAAATGACATCACATTAAATACACTTTAAAATTATATTTTAGAGGGAAAAAATTGTTTTTAAAATCTCTACTACTTATTTTTTAAGTTGTAGAGATTTTAAACACAAAAAATATTATAAGCTCATGCTATGTTGATGCTAAATACTTTTGGTGTAGATTCAGAAGACTGTGGCTGAAAATGGTTTTGCTACTGGTTTTAGAAAACCATTAAAACTTATTTATTATTTTATGATTTTTTAAACCAGCAAGTATATACTTGCTGGTTTAAAATAATATAAGATAATATTGTATGGGCATTTCCATTTCTGTGCGTAATTTTTTGTTTTTCTTTATTTTAACCAATGTTGTCCGTAGCGTACGGTATGAGCCCATATCGTATAATACTTAGCGTAACAAAATCGTTTTGTTTATTTAATTTTTATTTTATTTATTTGAATTTTCATGCTATGTTTTTTTATACAAAATTTTTATTCAAATAAATTGTTGGCTTAGCATAGAAACACCCACAAATAGTTATTAAGACTAATCCAAAGTAGTGTCCGTTATTGACCAACATTTTTACGTACAGAAGTACTACTCAAGCGCTGAGTTCACGGCAGGATTTGATCCCCTATCGTACAACAGTCCGGGTATTAACTATTCGTTTGACGCTCAAACCAACTGAGGTATCCAGCCACAAATATTTTTACTAATTTTACTAATTTTTATATTTTAAATGATTTTAATAATTAAATAATTTTAATAATTTTAATAATTTTACTTTTAAATAATTTTATTAATTTTCCTTTTAAATAATTTTAAAATACGATACTCCCCCCGTATCGTAAAAACGCCGTTATCGTAGGTTTTTGGGTGTGCTGTATAACGCACCCACCCGTATCGCACGTAAGGGAAAATATGCCTGTACGTATAATACGGGAAGATTTCTAAATAAAACTTTAACATAGACTCACAGATTTTAACTGTTTGGATTTTTTTAAACAAATATATGGATATATTTAAACTGTATTCGTTATTGGTAGGTTACCGTAGGTTTTTGTTATTTATTGAAGATATGACCTAGTCTGATTCTACTTGACAGTGATGTAAAAGGATTACGAGAAAATAAGCGTTTGAAGGAGACAAAAGAAATGATTTAATTTGTGCTGAGTGAATTGATATCAAAAAGGCATTGGAACTCATCAAAAAGTCTGGGAATTTATTCTAGATTTCCCTGAGACACTAATTTATGATATTTATAACGTTATGTGAATGATGATTCTTTAATTTTATATTAATAACATGAGAGTTTTTGGAAAACATGTACTTTTGGAGAGAACATATTTTTCTAGAATTTGTCACAACTTTTTTTCAATTTTTTCCTTATTTATGTTTTTTTTTTTTTTTTTAACCGACGGGTTTACGATTCGCCTCTACAACTTTGGTTTTAACTACTTAACACTGGGACTTAAAGTAATATGCATACAATTATGATTTTGAAAATATTATTATGAAACTAAATATATCTATTTTTATAATTTGTGTGTGTGTGTGTGTGTGTGTGTGTGTGTGTGTGTGTGTGTGTGTGTGTGTGTGTGTTGATGTAGCAATAGCTTTAAAAATATGCAATAATTTTCAAAACGCTATTCTCTACCTAAAAATATTTGATGACTGCTATTTCTCACTAAAAATATATTAAATATGAGTTGTAGCAATTTTTTTCATAAAATAACTACGTATAACCAACAAACTTACTTACGTAAACCAACAAACAACAAACTTCTGTGCATAACATCCGAACTGCAATTAAATGATTAGTGACTCGATGATACTTGTGCAATCCCGTAACTTTCTAGAAACTTTTCTAATATCTAAAGTAATATGTAAAAAAATGTATACTGCTGAAACTTATATTCTCCGAGGTCTTAAAGTTTATTAATCTAACAACTGAAATTTGCGTTATTCTGTTCCCTGCGTGATTCCGCTTCAAACTTTATTTATTCTTTGATAACATTACTAATGTATACCATTTTTTGTTTACAAAATATTTGTATAAACTAGAATTAAATGAGAGTAAATTGGAGTTTTCTAGTTTGGTTATTATGAAAATAAAAGACAAAACATATTGAGTTTCCGTGCGTGATTTGAAAATATCTTTATTAGAAAAATAGCTTTTTTTTTTTTTTTTTTTGGTTTTTCTGTTATTCACCTCCTCAAGGCCAAGAAGGCCACTACAGACGAGGAGGCTACTAATAGTGGTTATAATCCTCTCTCAACTTTATAACTCCGAAACACGAACCTTGACAAACAAGGTAGCTGCGCGGAGAAACAAGCTTTGTTTTAATAGCTTATTTTATTCAGCTCACATTCGTTTTGTAGCTGGATTTGCATGTAACATGGCATTAAATGCTTTTAATGAAAAACGGTATTAAGCAGTTCATGAATGAATTTGTTGGTAGACGCCCATACACGTCCATACACAAGTTGCTGTATTTTCTTTTTCAGATGCACCAGTTTTCATAATTAAAGATTTCATAATTGAAGACGGGAAAAAACGGCAGGGTCACATTTTAAAATTGTTGACTATTTTGATTTTCTAGCTTTATAAACTACAGAACCATCTTTTGTATTTAATTTTGAATCAAATAATTGATTTTATGTATATTTAAAGTTTGATCGAATTATGCCTCTCTTCTTTAATATACAAATAGTCACCTCCCCCAAAAAAAACAAGTTTTTAAACAATCGAAACTTACTAAAAGACATAAACCAAACACTACTCTGTATTATCAAGACTTAGATTGAAAGCTCCAAGTCCTTTTTTTTTCATAATACTCGCAGATGATTCGGTTAATAATTATTACTAAAAATGGCAACATTTGAGTCATTAGAATAAGTAACAAAAAAAATCCAAGAAAAGAAAAAGCAAAAAAAGATTGCGCGAAAGTGTCAAAAAACAAAGGCTAGCATCTCATAAAACAGGGCTTGAATGTAACTGTAAAAAGTTGAAATGCTTTGAAATTGTTAAAAGAGAAGATAGAACTGTTTTATCAAGTTACTTTAAATAAAAAATTAATGATTTAGTTTATGAATTAATAATAACAAGAATACAGTTGTTAAACCGGGGAAAAAACAGCAGGTTCCGAAAAAAACTTCACTTAAAAAAGATGACATAACCGCAAAATACAACTTTTGTTGCAAAAAAATAAGATTACTTTTGCAAAATATCATACAAGTTTACACTTTTTTTCTAAAAACTAAAAGGTTACATAGAATTTAAAGTTTAATATTGAGTTTTCTCAAAATGAAAAATGCGACCCTGCCGTTCTTCTCGTGGAGTCTTCAATTATTTTATTCATCGACAAAAATTTCTTATTAGAATGAAAAGTAATAAGTATTTTATATATTGCATTAATCATTCAATTTTTTAAAAAATATTTAAAAAAAACTTCTTATAAATACACCTGAAAAAATTATTTATGCTTTAAAGTATTATTACTATTTTAAATGAAAAAAAAATTTCTTCAAGTTTTGAAGTATGCTTTGTACGTAATTGCAATGAAATTATAAATGATTGAAAAACAATGTTATGCTCGTCCTAAACATCGAAAAAAAAAAAGTTTTTTAAATGATTCGTACATTAGTTGTTACATTAACATTATTAGCTAAATTAAATATGTAGCGGTAAAGTGATAAAGCACTCGCTTCATATTCAAGAAGTTTTGAGTTTGATTTTCACTCCGTCCTCATTTTGTAAAACTTCAGGAAAGCACGTAGTTGAATTTAATAAGTTAAGTTTTAAAATATGCGCTAGGTTTCTTGGATTTTAGATATTGGACACTCTTGGATATTGATGGCCACTAGCCATGATCAAACACAATCAACAGACATTTTTATCGTACAAATAAAATCGTGAATGGACCCTTAAAAAAAAATTCAAAGAAAACTAGCCATTCTAAGTGGTTTTTCTAGTTAACCTATATATTTCAATGAACAATTTCCATTAAAATAAAAAATAAAAATGTGTATATATTTTTCCTCGTTTATTCATACTTTTATGCTTCAAAAGACAAAATTTAAATCTGCGATTAAGTAAGAAAGATTTTCTTTTTGAACCTAAAACTTTCAGGCTATCATAATTAGGTAGTTACACAGGAGTTGAAGCAGATTCAGAAATTACACGTTTTACAAAAATTATTACAAAAATTGTAATAGTTTTCGTAATAAATTTTGTAAAACGTGTAATTTTAGAGGAAATTTTTGGAAAAAATTTCCTCTAAAATTAAACACCCTTAATTTATTTTTATTTGGAATATATAACAACAATAGCAATAAACAAATGAAAATCACTTGGCAACTGTAAAGACTGCAAATTAAACAACTCTTATTTCATGTGGCAAAAAATGTTATTTTAAAGTATAGATTTTAAATAACTATTGTCTTGTTTTTTCAGCCTCAATAACACTTTTAATGCAAGTTATTTTTAATGCAAGTTATTAACACTTTTTATCAAGTTTAATAAACTTGGTAATGCAAGTTTTTAAGCTTGTAATGTAGTTTATTTCAATATTGAGGAATTGTTGATATGGTGTTGCTAAGGGCGTAATTTTTATAGGGTTGCATAAAAAAGAATTTTAGTCAACATATTCAATATTTTTATAAATTCAAATAGTTTATTTGAATTTATTATAAAATTTTGCATAACAAAAAGCCAAAATTTTTTTTTTGATTTTTGACTAAAAATAAGGGTATGAACCACCTTTAGGTTAATGTAACGAGTTAATTGTGAGGTAATTGCCAGTATCATAACAGCTAACAAAGGAAACCTTAATCGACACATATCTAGAAACTTCTCATAACGTAAGCCCTTCAATAAAAGTTGCTGCGCAAGCATTTTTGTTTTTTGTATTTTGAGGTATTTTTATTAGAGATGTCACGAATAGTGATTTTGTCG